GCGGGGCAAGTCCCAGACCCCATTCCATAGTAGGAGTTCGAGGGCTGGATTAAAACAGCGGTGGGCCGGATCCGGCCTGCAGGCCATAGTTTGCCCACCACTGGGCTAAGGGTTTGAGCAGGGCTGGCCTTACCATGAGGTGAACTGAGGCGGCTGCCTCAGGTGTCAGACTGTGGGGGGGTGCCACTAGGACCCAGAGTGTAGAAAATTGTGTCTGCTGCTGGTACATATGTATTCTTTCTGCTCTAGATCACAGAGATGGTGGAGTGCTGTGCTGGAGGAAGGAGGGCACGAGACATAACAGGCAGGCAGGAGAAAAGGTGAGAGGGGATAACAGAAAGTAGCAGGAGCTGCAGGGATAGAGAGGAGGAGGAGCCTCTTATGTACCTCTCTAGCACCCCCAGGAGCCTGGACTGATTAACACCAGCTTCTCAGGGAGCTTCTTGTTTCCTGCTGCTTCCCTGAACCCACTTGAGGAGAACAGGCAGTCAACTGAAGTAGTAGGAGCAGTTAGGCCCTTAAGACGCTGATATCTTCCTTCACTCAGGCCCTGCTACCAGCCTGCTTATTTGTTCCCTTCAATTGAGTGTTGAGAGCCACTATAGCTGGCACAGAACAGCAGTCATGAGTAAAAGAAGAAAACGCCCCTCTGGGGCAGCATTCAGAAAAAGAAAGCAAGCAAAGGAAGCTTTTCTACCTAAGCAGGAAGGAGCTCTCCTGAGATATATAGCCACAAATGTTCACAGTGAGGTCCCAGTGAGGATGTGAGTGGTGAGGAGATGCCTGATCTTCCAGTTAGTCAGAGTGCAGGTGACCTGGCAGCTACTGCAGCATCCATATCTCCATCTCAAATGGATGAAACCATGCACATTCATGAAGAAAAGTATAGATCAGAGAAGAGTGTGGTGGAGGTGCAAGAAACAGCTGCTGCTGAGTTTAGTTCATTAAGTCTAGATGATCCAGGACTGTGGACCCATTTGACCAGTAGCCTGAGGGGCTTCCTTGTACTGCATGGGCCACAGCAAGTGAAAAACTTCATGTTCCCCAAAGACAATGAAAATAGAAGTTTCCATCCAACACATTACTGGCATGAAATCCCCAATGGTGACAAAGTGGAGAGGCCATGGCTTATGTACTCAAAACCCCAGAATGCTGCATACTGTTTTTGTTGCAAACTTTTCCAGTCTAATGTTACAGCCACATTGGGTTCTGGAACAAAAGACTGGAAAAATCTGGCTAGAAATCTGGCATGCCATGAGAAGGCAGCAAATCACCAGAGAGCATTCCATAGGTGGAAAGAGCTTGAGATGAAACTAAGGTTAAAAGCCATCATAGATGATCAGCATCAAGAGAAGATTGCATCAGAGTCTCTTTACTGGCAAAATGTTCTGAAAAGGCTCATTGCCATTGTGAGAATGCTTGCTACCCAAAACCTAGCACTGCGTGGCACTTCAGATCAGCTGTATGTGCCAAACAATGGAAACTTCCTTAAAATTGTGGAGCTGATGGCTGAGTTTGATGCTGTACTCCAGGAGCATCTAAGAAGAGTCACCACCCAAGAAATGTACACACACCACTACCTTGGAAAAACAATTCAAAATGAGATCATACAGTTACTGGCAACAAAAGTTAAACAGAAAATTGTGGCAGATCTAAAGTCAGCAAGATATTCCTCTGTTATTCTGGACTGCACAGTTGACATCAGCCAGGAACAAATGACTTTAATGGTGCGTTTTGTAACAACAGCAGAACCTAGTGAAAATGTCCCTGCAATAGTGACTGTCAGAGAGCATTTTCTAGAATTTATTGATATTGATGATACTACAGGAGCTGGTATGACAAATGTGCTTCTTAAAAAGCTGGAAGATACGGGAATTGCGATAGCTGACATGAGAGGTCAGGGCTACGATAATGGTGCCAACATGAGAGGAAAGAACAGAGGAGTGCAGACACGGATCCGAGAGTTAAACCCTCAAGCTTTTTTTGTCCCATGCAGTTCTCATTCATTGAACTTGGTGGTCAGTGATGCAGCATCAGCTTCTAGTGAGGCTGCTGAATTTTTTAATGTAATTCAAAGCATCTATGTATTTTTCTCTGCATCAACTCATTGATGGCAAATTTTGAAGCAACATCTGGGAACATTCTCTCTGACACTGAAACCACTGAGTGCCACACGATGGGAAAGTCGAGTGAAGGCGATAAAGCCTATCAAACACCAAATTGGGAAGATAGATGATGCCATAGTTGTCATTATGGAGGATAATGCTATGACAGGAACTGTTCGTGGGAGAACAGAGGCAGAGGGAAATGGAATCACCAGAAACATACATAACTTTAAATTTCTGTGTGGCTTAGTGTTGTGGCATGACATACTGTTTGAAATAAATGTTGTAAGCAAGAGACTCCAAGGTGTTGACCTTGATATATCTGGAACAATGGAACAACTGGACAAAGCAAAGTCATAGCAGTGGAGCTGCAGGTTTTTGCCTGGAGCTGGAGCAGAGCCAGAGCACAGCTCCAAAGCCCCGAAAAAATCTTTTAAAATAAGGTGGTCAAACACCACAGTGGTGAATGCAGTTTAAATACCACACGTTCTAAGGGCAAAAAGAGAAAGAAGATAGACAAGCAATCTGGAAGCTACACGAGCAGATATTAACTCAGATTACACACACTTGTTTTTGTACCTAAGGCACCACAGTCCCTCCCTGCTGTCTGAAAATACAGAGGCGTGTTTCAAAGAGTACAGTTCCCAGATAGGTGCCAATTTTTCAGCAGTTATTTAGGTGTCTAAATAGGAGTTGGCCTGTCACATGCTGGGGTGCAATCTAGACCAGTGAGGGGTTGCATCACCACCTTCCCTGCAATGTTGGGTGCCTCACAGTGCTTTGCTGTTGTGGCACCCAAACTGGGCTACTCATAAACAGCATGCAGGTCACACCCTGAGTATCGAGGTATAGCTACAGCCCTGGTCCAGCAATGCAGACTCCAGTGTCAGCAACATACCAGCCACATTCTGGCTTCCAGCAGCCTTGGTTACTACCTGTAGGATGACTTCCACACATGCCCAGTGCTGAATTTTCCCCAAAAGCATGTGCTCTGCACTGTCCAGCCTTCTCCTAGACTGTTCAGATATTAGAAGTTGCTCCCATAAGGGGTCAATATACAACATTAGTTTTGATTAAAAAATAAAACAAGTTTGTTTAACTACAAAAAGAGATTTTTCAGTGAGTACAAGAATAAGGTATTAAAATCAGAAATGGTTACAAGAGAAATAAAGTTAAAATACTTTATATTAGCTAAAACTTACCAAACTAGACTTGGTTCAAGGTAAAATCCTTATTACAGGTTCCCAGCAACAGTGCTAACCAAATTCTCAGATCAGGAACTCCCCCAAAGTCAAACGGCTGGGCTGGTTCCTTTGTCTTCTTAGGTGAAAGGGAGCAAGAGAAAGAGAGACGCTGGGGTGTTTTTGCCCCTCCGTTTTGTAGTCCAGTCACCCTTTGAAAAGCATTTTCCTGCAGGGCTTTGGAGCGGAGCCCGGAGCTGGAGCGTGGAGCAGCTCTGGAGCAGTGAAGCTGCAGGTTTTTGCCTGGAGCTGGAGCGGAGCCGGAGCAAACAGGGCTTTTGGAGCTGGAGCAGAGCACAGCTCCAAAGCCCTGTTTTCCTGAGGGTTTCCCCTAGATAAAGTTTCATCCCACAGTCTCATGGTGAAAGAGGTTCCATGCTGTTGCTTGCTAAAATGCAGATTCATCTGTTCCTGCCCTCCTTCCTTGCCAAAGAATGGCCACTTGACAGGTGATTGTCAATCAACTTTGATGATATCTGGCTAGAGGCCTAAGCTTGTCCTTTGTCTTTGACTTGTCTGGGAAACACATCAGTCATAATTTCAGTTTATGTTCATATAATGTAGCTGCACATATGTCACCATGATAATATTGACCAGCAAGCTATTAATTGTCAAATGATACCTCACAAGGTATAGTTTGTACAAAGATTATTACAATAGTGTGCAGGGTATGAATGCAGGGATGAAAAGCTGGCCCATCTGTGCTGTTTCAGGCTCTCACTACTACTGTGTCTTTATAAATGCATCCACTGAATGGGCTTGTCTACACTATGCAGCTTTTAGAGACAAGGCTGTGTCGACACTTTTTCCAACAAAATACTTCCAGCCCTGTGAGCGGCATAAGCTTTGTCGGCAGGAGAGCACTCCTGCCGCTTGTGTCGGCAAAACTTTTGTCTTTCGGAGGGGGGGGGGGGCTTTTTAAAGTACCCGCGAAAGACAAAAGTTTGGTCGACAACGTCGCAGTGTAGACAAACCTCAGTTTCTCAGAGATAAGGTGCAGAAGCAGAGGCTCAGGGAGGTGCAGGGATTGGGTAGGTGCAGCAGCAGAGGTGCAGGGACTCGGGAGGTGAAGGAGCAAAGGCTTGGGGAAGCGAAGGGATTCGGGGAGGTGCAGGGATTGGGTAGGTGCAGCAGCAGAGGTGCAGGGACTCAGGAGGTGAAGGAGCAGAGGCTTGGGGAAGCGAAGGGAGTCGGGGAGCTGTAGAAGCGGAGCCTCGGGACGGTGAAGGGACTCGCCCAGCAAGGTGGCACTGGAACCCCCTCACTCACACTTCCCGCTTCCCCCGGATCTCCTGCAAACAGCCGCACCCCCGCCACAGGTGACACGTCTCTCTGCCTTACAGGGGAGCGGCCAGGGGCCAAGGGGACTGAGCCGTGGGGCACTCAGCCTAGGGCACAGGCAGAGGCCCCCGGGGCAGGCCGGCCCCCATAACGGCAGCAGCAGAGTCTGACAGCCTGGGCCCGCCCCACACCGCCTTTCCCTCGGAGCCTGCCGGAGTGACAGGAGGAGCTGAGGCCGCCGTACCGAAGCCGGCCTGAGGGGGCGGGGCAGAACACCCCACCCCGCCCCCTCCGTCCGCTCCCGGCATTCCCTGCGTCAGCCTCCCTGCCTGGGCTCGGTTCGGCCCCATCCTCCGGCCGCCGCGCTAGCGCCATGGCCGCCTATAGCAAGTACCTGACCGCGCGTCATTCCGTGGTGGCCGGCGCGGCCGCCTGCGTCCTGCTGTGCCTGCTCAAGAAGCGCCGGAGAGCGGCTGCTAAGCACAGGTAGGGGGCGGCCCAGGCTGGCAGCGCCGGTTCACGGAGTGGGGGGGTGGGGGAGGGTGAGGAGGCAGGACGGGAATGGGGGCGGGGTGCTGTAGGGGGCTGAGGGTAGGCAGGGGGAGGGGGTGATCAGAGGGGTGAAAAAGATGGATAAGTGGGGGGGAGGGGTAGTTGTGGCTTTTATGGAGAAGAGAAGGGGGTGCGGGAGGGGTAGATGGGGTGGTTGAGGGACTGAGAAGGGGTTCTCGGTGGCAAATGACAGAATGAGGAGCAATGGTCTCAAGTTGCAGTGGGGGAGGTCTAGGTTGGATATTAGGAAACACTATTTCACTAGGAGGGTGGTGAAGCACTGGAATGCGTTACCTAGGGAGGTGGTGGAATCTCCTTCCTTGGAGGTTTATAAGGCCCGGCTTGACAAAGCCCTGGCTGGGATGATTTAGTTGGGAATTGGTCCTGCTTTGAGCAGGGGGTTGGACTAGATGACCTCCTGAGGTCCCTTCCAACCCTGATATTCTATGATACTATGAAGAGGAAGTGATGTTTGGGGTAGGAGAGAGAGGAGAAGGGCAGAAGTATGATGTGGAGAGCCCTGCTAGTCTCCCACCACCCCTAGGGCAGGCCAGGAGAATGCTGCGGTTTATTTGTCTTTAATGCCAGAGGGTGATCTCCTCCCCCCTGTGCATGACATGTTCTGCCAAGAAAACCCCTTCTGTGCGGCAGACAAAGCTGGCTTTCTCCCTCACCATTCACTCTCCCTCAGTCCGCTACGTGCTGCTGGAGAGAGAATTATTCACAGACATACAACTTCGAGAGTTAAGGTAAATTATCTGAAGAAGTGAGGTTTTTACCCACGAAAGCTTATGCCCAAATAAATCTGTTAGTCTTTAAGGTGCCACCAGACTCCTTGTTGTTAAGGTAAATTATATTCATCCTTAACAAATTATGGGCCCTGTTGCACAGAACGGAGATTGGACTGTGAATAATGTAGCTCTGTTCTATGCTGTATGTTATAATAGTGAAGTATGTTCATCAATAAGAAATTCAGGGAGAGGGAGTTCAGGTTCTGTATAGGGTTACCAACTTTGGTTGGATGAATTTCTGGAGGTTTCATCTCATGACTTTATTTTTAATTAAAGATTAATCTTTAATTCCTGTAGACTCCAGAACAATCCTGGAGGGTTGGCAACCCTAGTTCTGTAGCATATGAGGTTGAAATTTTAGTATACTTGTTTTTATATGTCATTGTGTTAGCTAATCTGTGTAGTTGAAGAGTGAGTTGTGTTATGAAGTTTTTCCTGTTGGGGAAATACAGGGGAAGGTGTGTGATATGCTAGGAATGCATATTAAATTCAACCTGCCCTTTGCCGTCACTCTTGCTGGACTGAGTAATTGAATATGTATTACAGGCATATGGCATGCTTAGCATCTACATAGCACTTAACTTCAAATGTTGCACAAACATAAACAAATCAGGATGGTAGGTCTAGAAGATGAAATGGTTTGAGGCAAGATATACTGTAGTAGGTGTAAATAGCAGCTTTAAGAATTTAGCAATGATTGAGCAATAATTCCATTTTATTTTGATAAGTGTCTTTCATACAAATGATCATAAAAGCTTCACAATATTAAAAAAATAATTGACACAGTATGCATGAAGAGCTACTAATAGGGCAGGTTCTGAAAAGTGCTCATGATGATGTTGCACAATGACAGAAACAGTTAAGAAAGGGCTCCAGCTATTGTAGGAAGTGGTCAGTTTATCAGAATGACAGGTAAGGACAGTATTTCTCAGGCTATTTTTTTAATTCAGCAAAATATGCCAAAGCCATTTGAGGTGAAGAGCCAAACCTGTGTTTCAAAATTAAAGGGTTTGGGGTCTTATAGGATTTTTGTAGTTATTACTTTTGTTTGCTTGGACAAGTTGTTAGGCATAATATTGCTGTGCTGATTTTGTTTGAGGACCTGGAAGTGGTGAGATTGGAGAGGTATTCAGGTACTACAGTCCTAGGTTTTATTACTGTACATTACTGTATATTTATCTAAATATATTATACTTCTTCTGAATGTGGTAAGAAGAAGCTCTGTGTCAAATAGATTTATTTTCATGGGTGTCAGTGAACATGTAGAAGTGGGGATTTAACCTTAATTTAAGAGACTTGCATTTGGAGTGTGTCATTGTGTGTGATGCATTGGGTTTTGCCAGGTGTAACCCTAAAAATACTGTTCCTAATGATCAGTTATATACTTTAGAGGGGAGCCCAAATGCTGTTATTACAAGATGAATTAGAATGGTGTGGAGAGTGTACACATGTCTGGGGAGGAGAGAACTTCCAACTAATTAAACAGGTGGTTTGAATTAAAACTGTCTGACCTAATTTGGCTCTCTTTCCAGACTGCCAAAGATCTTCCAGGCCCTTAAAAATGTATCTTGATTGCTATAATCTCATTCTCCACACCCTTGACTGATGCAACCTTGCATTCCTCAAATCTAATCCAAATGCTTCTGTTAAAATAATTTTCATTGCTTGTCACGTTGGTCATGTCACCTTCTCCTCAGTATTCCTCTACTGGCTTCCTCTTTTCCAGAGCACCCAATATATATGTCTCCTGTCTGTACTTTTAAGGCCCCCTACAACTTAGTTAGACCCTATCTAGTAGTTCTAGTATTTTATCGTGCCATCATCTCCAGTCTTTATCACATATACAGCCAATTATCCCACAAGTATTTATGCTTTTTTTCCATGATGTCCCTTTTACCTGATATAATCTTCTACCAAAAATCCATTCATCCACTACCTGTCCTCCAGACTTTTCCATAAGACTTACTTCAGCCATGTAGCTTACAGAATGTTACCAGTCAAAAGCTAGGCAAATTATGAGTTACACTGTGTGCACCATTAGGCTACGTGAAAGCACACTCTTATTACTGTTGCCTTGCCCTGCTTGCAGTCTGTCAGTTTCATTCACCTATTGCATCTTGTCATTAATTTAGATTGTAAATTACTTGGGGCAGGGGTCATTTTACCAGATTTTTTGTAGGGCCTCTATGAGTTTTTAAACTATAAATAATAATCAACAGTAAGCCCTTGTGCAATACTGGAAAAATTCTTTCAAGGTGTGTTGCACCATTTAAATCCTGTGGGGCTATTACACTGGGTGTGTGTGTGTGTTTGGGCAGGCAGAGTGGATGTGCTGGGAGCTTCTTGCTGGTCCTGAACAGGTCTCTCTAGAAGGGGCAATGGGCTGGAACTATGGATCTCGTGGCTGAGTAAATGAGGAAGGGGTGTGGAGGAGTTGTGACCTCTATTCCAGCCTATAAATTCGTCTTTTTTTTTGTGGGTGGAATTCTTTCCTCTATGTAGATTCTCTGCCAGTACTTAATAACATTGCCTGAGTGCAGGGAAAGGTGAATTTCACCTTTAAAAATTTCTGGACTTTGACATCCTGTTTGAGGAGTATCATGAAGGATGGTGTAGGTATTGTAAGCCCTAATATAGGAATAAAATCATATAAAATAAAGGTTAGAAAACCATGTTCTTAAGTAAATCAAGGAGATGCTTGTTTGGAGAGCCAGAACACATGTATCTTGTACAAAGTGTCATGGTACCTATCCTAATCTTGCTTTATGCAAGGCAGTTGCAAAAATGTTTCTTCTCTGTCAACTTTCACCTGCTTTTCTGATGCCTTTGGGATTAAGGGCAAAAGTAAAGTATGACTCAAGTCATATAGTAACATACAAGTTCCTTAAGTGGCGTAATAATCATACGTTGCATATCTTAGTAGGGGAAAGGTAAATTACTACCTTCCAGTTGAATGTGTCTCAACGTTTTGTTTAGAAGATCCACAAAACTAATGAATGATGTTATAAAACTTAAAAGTGTAGTATCATTTAGGAGCATATGTTCTTTTGCATTGTGATGCATTCTCCTAACCAAACCGTGCAGAAGTTATTAAAAAGAAGTGGTACAAAACAGTTTTTTACTGGAACTACTTTTAGTATTCTATATTAATACCTCTGACTGAAATATCCATATAGTGGAATGTTTCACAATAAATTGCCCAGTTTTTCAATCAGTATTATCCTCTCAGACGTGATTTTTGTTTATCCGGAGTGGAATAGACTTGCTTATTTTACTTCCAGAACTGAGGCTATTGCATAAAAATATAAGTGAAGTTGTGGCTTCTGTTAGAATTTTAAATGACACCTGTGATGCATAGAAACTAGTCCTATTTGAGAGATTACATCATGCTGAAATGTGTCCTCCCCTCCCGCCCCGTACATCAATTAAGATTTGTTGCTGTGAACAAAAATTATTCCAATAATGGTGGTCAGTGCCTGACAGCTGAAAATTGTTGCTTCTGTTAAAGGGACTGACTCTTAAAATCTGTTTTAGCTTTTAAAAGCAAGGTGTTCTATTCTCCAGTGGCAGCCATTGAAATAAATTAAAAAGAAAGCTTGGACAACCAAGAATGAAAACCTGCCTCAGTCCTTGCCCCATATCACCAGAGATCAATAAGCAAGTTTAATCTTTTAGTACTTTGTCACAAAGAAGTCTGATTTTTTGGAATGGCTATTAGTGTAATCAAGTAAATAATTGATACTGAAATAACAAATGTGTGAACCATAAAGTACATGAAAATATTGATAGATACATCTCTACCTCGATATAACGCTGTCCTTGGGAGCCAAAAAAATCTTACCGCGTTATAGGTGAAACCGCGTTATATCGAACTTGCTTTGATCCACCGGAGTGCGCAGCCCCACCCCCCGGAGCACTGCTTTACCGTGTTATATCCGAATTCGTGTTATATCGGGTCGTGTTATATTGGGGTAGAGGTGTGTGTGTGTGTGTGTGTATATAAATATATATATAGCCAGTGGAAATAACTCTCAATCCATATACCTACAGGTCTACTTAGTACATACTAACTTTATTGTGTCTAGGCAGAGATCTGTTTTGGTATGGTATAATTATAATATCTGATTGCATACAAACACATCC